GTTCTTAGAATTGACAGACAGTTGACCCTGAGAGGTCAAGAAAATATCTACAGCGGATCTAAATATTTATAATTAATTATAACTAGTTATGATTAATTATTCATATTTCCACATGAATGAGCTGATTCGCTACACAGTACTCATTCCCGTACCGAGGTTACGTTAGTAACCGAGTACGTTATCTTTTCCTTTCCTGTCTTGTCAGCATTTTTTTTTACTTCATTTGACTCCAGGTTTAGGTCCATCTAATCTGTAATTAATTAGGTGCTTATGTGGTGGCTGTGTTAATTACACTGTTTCAAAACATAATCCATCACTATCCAGGTTTAGGACTTCTCAGAAAATGTACCCGGTAAACTTTCAAAGAGAAGACAAACTTTTCAAATAATCCCTGGTGCTCTTGTTTACTGAATGCTTCCTGTTGTTTCATAATGGTAGATAAAAACAAAAGCATCTCTACAAATATAAGGCACGGCATGTTTTGATGTAGTCTCATAGTGTAAACAGCAGCTCTACGTTGGACGGATTATTTGCTGGATTACTCGCAGAGCACATCTGTGCATTAGTAAACAATAAGGAAGAAAAGCTCACCGAAGACGGTACGTGCTGGAACGGACTCCCGGTTCAGCCAGAAGGAGACCTGAGACAGAATGACGGTCATTATGCAGGGGAGATACGTCTGGATCACGAAATATCCAATTTTCCTTTTCAAATGGAAATATGTTGTCATCACCACATATTCTCCTATATAAGAAAAGAGAAGAGAGAGACCATAAGAGAGATGAATTATTGATGAGACAACACATAGACTAAAATATTCAGAATTCTATTTATGCATGATCTGATGTAGGCAGAGCAACTAAGATATCGGAGGTGGGGGTCTTGTGTTGGAGAGGATGTTTAATTGATTGGTTCTTGTATATCACAGCACCAACGACGGAGTAGGATTCAAGTGTTTTCCCAGCATGGTTGGGGCAGATTGGATGTTCTAACCTTAACAGCGGGAACGAGGTGACAGACAATCGCTCAATCTGAAAGCCCTACCGTTTAGTTCTCTATGGAGGTCTGATAGAGCTTGAAGGGCTGCAATTATGTCTTTAAAATCGGAGGTCGGATGACCAATTTGCACTGCTGAAGTCATATAATGTTTGTTCAAAATCTTGACTTTCCACAGAAATCAAAAGAAAGGAAATCGTATTACTCAGTGGCTGGTCTATTATAGATCAGGAGAAGTAGGAGACGTATGCAAAAGTCTCTATTTTCTCTCCATTTATTCTCATTGCAGTCTGGAAGAAACTGCTGAGATGTTCAACTACCGAAATGAATAACCAGATATAATGAATTCTTGTTACATATAAATAATTTTATATCACACGATAACCACAAGGTTCAGAGTGTCTGTGTGTAAGTTAGTGAGAGAGAAGGAACATTTGGAATATGTGAACAGAAAAGTATGTAGTACAAGAGGGATGAAACAATGAATAATTGTACAACTATCAACTTCTTCAGAGATGCATCAGAAGGAGGGAAAAAGGTGGAAGGTACCTGTTGTATCAAACACAGGCATTATGCTTTACCATGTGATACTGTACACATAGGCCTTACCAATGTAGTAACTACCAAATTACTGTAAAATAATAAGAATATTTTTTTTTTTTTGGAGCAAATTCTTTTCTAGCACAAAGCCTCACGGCATTATGGAATTATGTCAATAATGTAAATTAGGTAATATAAGTCTATTTTCTAATGTGACAGCTGTAGCTTGCATTACTGTAACATGTTTAATTCAGTAAAAAGGCTGATTTGAAATGTGCATCTTTGCATTGTTTGCTATAAATGAACTGATTGTTAAATGTACTAACTTGAAGATTAAATTGATTGTATTAAATGCTTTCATTACATATTGCAATGATCTTATTTTTTCCCATATAATCATTCTTTAAAATTACATGTCCAACTGGAATGAAAACATGAGATCTGGTTTTGAAAGAATGGCAGACTGTAATCAGTTTGGATATTTATTCTAAGAATTTTGAAATTGTGCTTGTGTACCAAAGCCAAAAACAAACAAACATATTCAAAGTTGTTGCGTTCAGTTACAAGACACTTGAGAACCAATGCCTTCTGGTTTCACTGTCATCAAAACTGGTGCACACCAAATTTGGCAATGTGCAATTTTCATTATCAGTTGTCATTCTAAAAAAGAAAACCCCTGGCATTCTGTCAAGTATATTCTTCTGATGACAGAATTTTCATTTTTAGGTGTATAAAATATTCCTTTAACAAGACCTGAGGTTGAAATTCTAATCTCTGTGGAAAAAGCAATTTTCAACTGAGTTAGCATTCTCTCCCGGCACTGGGAGGCAGAGCAGAGGACAATTAAAATGACAAAATGAAAAATAAACACATGCTTCTGGTGCTTTAAAAACAAATACTAGAGAGTTTGTCTTTTCCATTTCAGCTGAGGGGGGACTGTAAAATAGGTGTCTCATCTGGCATACAAACAGGTTTTTTAAACATGTCTTTATAGTGAGGGGGTAGTGGTCCTGGTATTCCCTACATTATGGGGACCAAATATCCCTACAAGGATAGTAATACCAGTCATTTTTGACCTTGTGGGGACAAAGTTTTTTTTTTTTTCCTCCATGAGGAAAACAGCTAATAACTCATAAATATTTTTAACACCAGAGTTTTTTGAATGTCTAAAAATACAAATGTAGGTTTAGGGGTAGGATAAGGGTATAGAAAATACAGTTTGTACAGTATAAAAACCATTACACCTATGGAATGCCCCAATAAAACATGGAAACCCAACGTGTGTGTGTGTCAGATTCTCAAATTCTTGAGAACTCTGCATTCTCTTCCACTTTACTGCACTCCATCCAGCTGTTTTTGAATGCAAGAATGCATTCTGTGGGAATGGCAAAACATGCTTGCAATTAGGTGGTATTTCAAGCTTAAATTGCTCAGAAGAAAGGAAAATTCTTATTAAGGAATTTTGCATACGGATTATTTATTATATATATATATTTTTTTTTTAATGTATATAATTAAACACTAAATTAATGTTAAATTGACCGCTCAAATATATTCATAAATATAATTGTTACTCTATTTTTAAGCATTATTTACTCTGTAAATGTAACCATTTATTAGTTACATTATATTATGTTTTAGTGTAGCCTTCCCTGTCAGCGGTGAGGGATTCACATGTGATAAATGCAGGGAAATAGTTAGGCTGACAGAGAAGATTTCAGAACTACAGACACATATCCAAACTTTATTTGAGGATAGTAAGAATGTAAAAGCCTTAGATGTGGCTTTGAATGTGACTTGCTTAGCGAGTACCGTACATTGTTCGGTTCCGGTTGCAGAGCCCCCACGGCAGGGCAACTGGGTGATTGTGAGGCCGCATAGTCGCAGGACAAAACACCGCTCTTCCATTCCGATTAAAACTTTAAACAGGTTCTCCCCACTCAGTGACGCACCCACTGAGAAACATGATGAAGGTGCCTTAGTTATTGGCGATTCTATTGTAAGGAATGTGAAAATAGAGACACCAAACACCATATTCCAATGTTTACCGGGAGCCAGAACGCCTTACATCTTGGCAAATTTAAAAATGCTGGCTAATGCTAAATGTAAATTCAGTAAGATTGTTATTCACGTCGGCACTAATGATGTTTGACTTTGCCAGTCGGAGATCACTAAAAATAACATTAAAGAGGTGTGTGAACTTGCAAGTACGATGTCAGACACTGTAGTTTCATAGACAATTGGACGAGTTTTTGGGCCAGACCTGACCAGTTGAAAACAGACGGTCTTCAGCCCTCCTGGGGTGGTGCCGCTCTTCTCTCTAGAAATATGGCACATAGTCTTAGACTTTGTACTTGACTAACTGGGGCCCAGGTCAAGAAGCAGACAGACTGGCTAAACTGACCGTCTGCTAGCCGCCTCATGTCACAGAAGTCAGTTAATTCTCAACACACAGAGACTCTTTCACCTAGATATCATACTATAGAGGCTGTGTCTTGTGAACTTTCACTGTTATGCTGATGATACTCAGCTCTATATTTCCTTACGGCCCGACGAAACAGACCGATTCGCAAAACTAACAGAATGCATAACTGATATAAAAAACTGGATGACTAGTAATTTCCTACTGCTAAAAAACATGTGTTAATTATCGGACCAAAATCCTAAACAATAATTCTTCGTCATCAGTTAGAAACCTAGGTGTGCTATTTGATAGCAACCTTTCCTTTGAAAGTTATGTTTCTAGCATTTGTAAAGCCGCATTTTTTCCATCTTAAAAATATATCTAAATTATGACCTTTGCTCCGATGTCAAATGCAGAAATGTTAATTCATGTGTTCATGACCTCAAGGTTAGATTATTGTAATGCTTTATTGGGTGGTTGCTCTGCATGCTTAAAGGTGACATCGGATGACATTTTCACTTTTGTAGATTTTTTTGCATTTAGTTAGGTTTCTGCGGTGTCTGCCAGCTCAGAAAAGCTAAAAAAAGAAAACATGCAGCTAGTTTGATATAAACTGTTTGAGTTTTAAAATGTGTTATCCAGTGACCTGTTTCAATTTGGTGCCGGTTTTGACATAACTAGCTAGTGTTTTATAGGAATTTGTGAAAGTAACAGTCCACGGTTGGCTAACGTTATTCGTTTGATAGCTTAGGTCTGAAATATGATTTTGCTGTTATCAGCACTCTAAATTGACGTAAGACCTAGCATATGGTAAAGAGGGTGACCCATATAAACATTTATTAAAAACAAAACAGTATGAATGTTATGTCTGTATGAATGTTAGTGTATGCACTAGTATGTTTAGCTGGGGGAAAGCTATCAGTAATATTTTCTCCATTTGCTGTTTGACAGTAAATTGGCTACTCCAACGCTAGCACGTGCGGCAAAATGAGAAAACTTTCCAAATTATTGTTAGCACTGCCCCAGATAAACATACTAACACAAGCACATATACTAACATTCATACAGACAAGCTATGCTATCTTTAGCATTTAAAGAGACATGCACCAAAACGGGTCACTGTGAACAGAGCTGGTTTTGACAAAGTAAAAAGGGTATTTTTTTTCACAACCGCTGAGACATTTTAACCAAAAAATGTTAGACATTTCAGAAATACCCTTAAGAAACATGACAACTTGTGAAACTTGTGAAATGGGCATCCAGTGTCACCTTTAATAAACAAACTCCAGCTGGTCCCAAATGCAGCAGCTAGAGTTCTTACTAGAACTAGGAAGTATCACCATATTAGCACGATTCTGTCAACACTGCACTGGCTCCCTATTAATCATCATATAAATTTTAAAATCTTGCTAATTACTTATAAAGCCCTGAATGGTTTAGCTCCTCAGTGCTTGAGTGAGCTCATATTGCATTATAGTCCTTCACGTCCGCTGCGATCTCAAAACTCTGGCCCTTTGATTAGGTGTCAGTGTCAGTGAGACGCTCAGGCTCTTGTTGACGCCGTCTCATTTGAAGAGGGTTTATTTGTGCTTTTAGATTAATTGATTTTTCAACTGAACTTTTGAACTCGTTGCTTTCATGTATCTAGGTTAAAGAGCTAGAGTACCTCGGAAATTAAATTGTTCTTATTTTCTCACTAATGTGTTGTTTCAAACCTGTAAGATTTCCTTTAATGGAAAACAAAGTTAGATATTTTGCAGAAAGTCCGATCAGCTGTTTTCCATACAAATGAACATTCACTCTCTAAAGTTCCAAAAAGGACAACAGAGCACCATTACAGTATCATAGATGTAGTACAAATGACTCACACACATCATTTCAAGTATTTGAAAATGATTTAATAATTTTGGGTGTGGAACAGCTTGAAAATTGCTCTTGTTCCATTCTTACATGGTGCTTCAGGATGTGGTGTTCATTTGTAAAAAAAAAAATAATAATAAATAAATAAAAAAATTCAAAAGTGCTCCTTAGTTTACAGTATTTGGTTACACTTTATTTTGATATTCCACTTTAGACATTCTATTAACTATAAGTAACTTTGTAACTACATGTCAACTAATTCTCAGAGTAGACTGTTAGGGTAGGTTTAGGGTTAGTAGAATAAGTTGACAAAGAAAGTGTTAGAAGATATTAAGCAGACAGTCTACTAATACTCTACTAACTGCTAGTTGACATGTAGTTGCAAAGTTACTTACTGTTAATAGAATGTCTAAAGTGGACTATCGAAATAAAATGTTACCGAATGGCATCTACGCTAATATTAGTCTGTTTTATTCTTATTCCGAGGTCACCTTAGCCACCCAGATCCAGTCTGTTTCCAGATCAGATGGTCACTGCAGTCACACGGATTCAGTCCGTATCCAGTCCAAATGATGGATCAGCACCTAGAGACGACCTCTACAGCCCTGAATGTCAGCGGAGACCATGTCAACTAGATGAACCCTAGATAAAGATACTATCACATACTATCCCTGTGAAGACCTCGTCGACCATCGGCACAAGACCACAAGAACCAGACGAGTCCTCTGCACAATCTGACTTGTGTTGCAGCCTGGAATTAAACCACACCATGCTGGTATCGTCTGGTCAGAGGAGAACTGGCTCCCCGACTGAACCTGGTTTCTCCCAAGGTTTTTTTCTCCATTTTTGTCACCGATGAAGTTTTGGACATTATATATATATGTCTGATTTCCTTTGCACTGGATTTAGAAGAAGTGCACCACAAATAATGTGGACTTGGGGTCAATTTCATCTCTTATTTTGACGAGCACATTGTCTTATTGAGCACACACACTTGAGCATACACACTTTTCTTGTGCACTCATACTTACATTTACATTTAGACATTTAGCAGACGCTTTTATCCAAAGCGACTTACAATTGGGGGATACATAAAGCGATTCTTCTTAAAGAGGCAAACAGATACAGGACGTGCTTGTAATACCAAGTTTTTAGACATTGTTCAAATAAGTACACGCTAGAAAGAGAAGGAATAGATAAAGAGAGAGAATTTTTATTTTTTATTTTTTTGCTGCATTCACATCCAGAGATGAGAAATGGGTAGGTGAGGGAAGAGAGGAGGATACAATGGAGGAAAGATGGGAGGGAAAAAGGGAGCGTAGGTTTCGTATAAAAGTAAGCGGTATAGGGGTTGGTGGCACGTTTGAGTCCTTCCTGCTTCACAGAGGCTGTATGACCCTAATAACTGTGGCAGAAAGCAATCAATAAGCTAGGTGCTTGCAAAGCAGGTTAGATAAATCACTTTACAAACAGACACAAATGGAATTTGTAAGCATATGTTGAAGCTGGAAGAAAGAAAAAAATCATGTGGAAAGCAAACAAAATTAATTAATTCAGGTTGTCAGTTGCAAAGAGAGAGATTTCATAAAGGGAAGGCTATGTACAGGAGAATATTACAGACTCATGCATATACTGTAAATAAACTGTGTTAAAGAGCAAGAGAGGTTTTCAATATCCAGCATGAATCTGCAACTATGCCTCAAATACTGATAAACAAAGGAAGGCAGATGTTTTTCATATCCTTCGTGGATACCTTTTAAAAGGCTGACTGCATAGCATTCAGTGTAAATACAGGAGATTTGGTGGTGTATAAAACGGAAAATAAGTTGGATATTGACAATTACCATGATATGCAATGTGATACATATGCTGTAACTCCGTATAAATCCAAATGATATATCAATTCATCAGAATAGCATAACTGCATCATTATTGAAACCGTCTCAGTCTCTTGGCTCGCTTCACTTTTGCTTGGTCCAACATGTTATACAGTAGAACCAGGTCTGAAAATGCTGCTTTTAGCAACTGATTATGCACTCTTTTTTGTCAATGCATCATTTACTATTATGTAATATTATGATATATATATATGGGTGTGTATATATTAGTAAATAATAGACATAATAGTAAATGACGCATTAAAACTATTAAATAATAGAAATGCAATGTTGGAAATTATGTAATAAGTAAAAAAATTAATTGGCTACCATTTGCCTAGATTATAATCACCTTCATTAGCACTTTTTGGCTGCTTTAACTTCACTAAGTAATCAATTCCCCTGGCACAAACGAGAAATGTAATTACCTGTACTGGAGCTGATGGTCTCTTTGCCAATGACATGGCCCAACAGGTCATACTGGTTGAGTCTAGAACCATCAGGAGCCACAGAAACAGATTTCTCATCATCCGCTGTCCAGATATAGACAACCTCATTGTTGGTGTAGGCATCTGAGAGAGATTTAGAAACAATTGCAATGCTGATCATTTTTACCATTTACAAAGCAATATTTGGATTTTGCTTTGGCTAGTATTTCTTTGCACATCAAAAAATATTGTGGTGTGTGCAGTGCGTAAATTATAATTCAACCTATTTTACAAAATATTATGTAAACTAAAAGTTTGTAGAATTAAGATACTGATAACGAATGTGCATTTTTTTTTTAACACAAAGATTACACATTTTACTGGTCTGTTTGCCTTCTGAGAGAATCCTTCTATTTCCATGAATGATATAGTCACTGGGTTGGAAAAACACCAATTGAAAATTCATACTTTAGAACAAAACAGGGCTCATGATAAAATAGGCGAGGCGAGGCGGGACGGGGCGGGGCGGTGAGGGCAGTAAAGTGAATAAATGCATCTCAATGAGGGCAATTGGAATGCAACTTTAATAAAAGCGGACTAACCATGGGTCAACTGCTCCCTCCGATTAGCGGCTTCCTTAAATCTAATGTATATAATAGGGAAACATAACACAACACTTATTGTGTTTGAATACACAAGGATGAACTTTGCAAAAGAGCATGAAAAACAATTATCTTGGGGTACGTGCACAGAAACAAACAACGCACATATGCAGACACATGTGCGCCCACATGACTGTGAGCAAGAGAGCGGGAAAAAAGCTGGCAGGCTTAACACTAGAAACATAATTCACAGAGCCGGCAGAGGTTTGCTAATTAAATTTTGATGGCCACAGAGAAACGTTATTGTTTTATTCCGTTCGAAGATCATTAATCAAAAGCTGAACACATCAAGTTTAATGCCACTTTATCCATTATGAATACTAATTGATAATGAAATGCATTATTCCATCTTTAAATACATATTTAAATTGCATGACACTGGCATCGGTTCTTATTTACAGGGAGTCTTGCTTGCAAGAAACGGCTATGGGCTGAAAAGGTCAGTGGTGTCACAGACTTTCGGCACATTACAAAGAAAGTCTTAAATTTAGTGCCTGGGCTAAAACTCAATTAATAAGGGGATGGGAGAGAGAAAGAGAACAGAACATGAGAGGATGAATTAGAAGCAATTTAAATGGGATAGGAGAAGAAAATATTTAATTGAATATCATTTTCTATCACTGTTTTCATGCGAACGACCTTGCTATAATTTGATTAACAGTCCAATAATAGTCTATATATCTCAATAGAGTGTTTCCTGTGTTAAATATCACTGCCCAAAACACACACACACACACACACACACACTCGTGTCTGGTCAGCTATCCTTGTGGGGACTCTCCATAGGCGTAATGGTTTTTCTACTGTACATACCGTATATTCTATTGCCCTACACCAACCCTACCCCTAAACCTACCCCTCACAGGAAACTTTGTGCATTTTTAGATTTTCAAAAAACGTAATTCTGTGTGATTTATTAGCTTGTTTACCCGTGGGGACCTCAATTTAGGTCCCCACCGTGACACGAGTCCCCATGAGTCTGTGTGTATTCAGGTTTAAGTCCCCACCAGAATACACACACACACACACACACACATACACACACACACACACACACTTCAAGTGGTTGTTTAATGTAAAATGAGAATCTAAAACGAGTAGCTGATTAACGAGGGAATGAGGAGCTTATATGTGTTTTTAGATCTCTACTCGCTTGGCCATTATGCGTTAGCCTCAAATTATAAATCATTATGGCTGGCAGTCATACAAAAGCCGGGCACTCATTCTGCTGGGGTGAAATGAACCTTTTACCTGTTTACCAGACCAAATAATGGGAAAGAAATAAGCAGAAGAAAAAATAAGAACGCGGTTGATAATCAAGATGATTTTTTTATGCCGTTAATGTTAATGGTCCATTTTGCCAAAGCAGACAGAAAACCAAACTACAAGCAATCATGTGATGCTAAAAAATGTAAAGACAGTAAATAGACAACATGTCTTTCTATCGTGATGTCCTTCATGTTTGCACACACAACCAAATATACATTGTGTCTGATTCATGACCAAACTACTTCTGTGAGCGTATTCTTTTTTATGAATTTGACAGAAATACTCACAAATTAATCTGAATTTAAATCAGAATAATTTCTAATATTAGAGGAAAGAGATCGTAGAGTGATATAAGAGACACTGGTTGCCACTACTGACCAATTACAATGAAGTATTCCAGAGCGACGCATAATAATTATGCTTACAGGCACTTCTGGCACTGTAATACCAAAATCAGTATGTATTTGGACAATTACCAGTTAATTAGCACCAGAAAATCATAGTCTAT